CGAATCATGGCTGAGGCTATTGTGGTGGTAGGCATTGTTACATGCATTACACAGCTCACAGACTTCAGTTCCAGAGTTGCTTACCACTCGAAAGATCTTTGTTTCACATACAACAGACATTTCTAATGTATTTATGGATCTTAACGGTGAATTACCTCAGCAGAGAGCATACCTGACTATAATGGATAGGCCACAGAGGGCCTTGTGCCTAGAAAGCCCGAACACTATGATTCTAGCAGCACTCCAGCCCTTCCAGGTCATAAACTCTCCCGTGCCAATTACGAAGAGGCTGGACTACTTTCTCTCTCAGTCTTAAAGAGACATGCAAAGACTCTAGGTTCAAGACATGCTCAAAGCTGTTATAGCTGAGAAGAACATATCCTATTTCTCACGAGACGTAGGAAATACAAGGTCGCCGACCGCTGTTCAAGAAAGCATACCAGTAAAGCGAGGCACTCCCACTGATCTTTTAGAACATATTTTTTCTCCCAGGAGCGTGTTTGCTCGCTATGTTTGGCAGCAAGGGAGGTAAAACTAGGTCAAAGATCTACCCGTGGATATCCTTATGACTGGTCGAGAATTATGAGGAACATCTAGATATTGTGGCGAGGAGCATTAACCTAAATTCGTCCTCGATGGAGACACCCAATATTGCAGACTCATGCAATAAACTCATCATTTAACTTAAATAGACGGGTAAATTACCGACGAAAACTTATGCTCTGGGTACAGAACAACCTAACGGTGCGCAAGAACAACCTAACTTCCTAATATCGTGTGGTCTCATGAATCGTTTCTTGTACGCTAGTGCTGATTCCGCAAAGTTGAGAAACCGTAACGAATAGGATCGTATATGTCTGGGGAACGGTTTCCCCTTGAAAGTTCGGAGATTCAAATGCCTTGGAAGACTTCTAGCCTCATGGAAGTAACAAGTAATAGCAACTAGGCGAAGAGTTATCTGCGCGAAGCCCTGTGAATCAGCACCAATCACCCAGATCCCGACCACCAGGAATACTAGGCTGCAGAACAATTCTCACCAGCATTAAGAGGTGGGACAGTGCGCTGAAGCCGAAGAGCTCCATTGAGGCGCTCGTAATTTATCGACGGGTGAATGGCGATGCTCACAAAATCCTTTTTGGAGTCAGTGCAACATAGCACTTACGCCGTGTCGAGCGGAGGACTATATTGAGAAGACTGCCTCGATACCTCCGGCTGCCGCGGATACAGCTACAGAATCTCCGGGCACTGGGGATAAATTGGTTGTAAGTTGCTTAGAAAACCTGGCTGTTTTGCACGCTACTAATGGGCTTGATGAGCACGCGGCATGTCTGGAGCTTCTCAACCTCGTTCATAAAAAGGGACTTCTACGGAGCTGGAGACCAGGAGGCTCGTGAAGTTACCAGACAAATCCGAGAGCGTCAGCCCTGGTGATACTGATGACCAAGCTCTCCCGAAGGGATTTCTAGGGAATGGAGTGCTGGCTGTCAACCATAATAGTTTCGGAATGTTCTATTAAGATGACCTTAGCTGAATAGAGCATACATCAAAGCTAAAGGTATTTATGACTAAACCAGTTCTCTTGTGTCTTGTTAAGACTGCTCTGCAGAACGGAGGAGCGGCTGGCGGGCTCAACTCCCCCTTCGGTACGGGTGGGCAATTCCTTCATGATTGGTGTAATTTTTTGTATATCAGATTAGTCGAACAAATAAACAACTTCTTATCGAACAGGCATGTACCGACAGTTTTGAATTATTTGTAGGACGCCGTGTAAAGGGCGTGCCCTGCAGCAAGTCTAGTTCACAATGATAACTCCAATTCGACCGAGATTGTCCTGTCAATAGTTCTCTTGGTTCGCTGGGAGTGAGTACAGGGGTGCAATGGGAACTTCAATGTCAGAGGATTAGCAGGGCCTAATAGAATACGGAGTCTTACAGGCGCGCAATGATTATATCCGCATAATGGTTCTAATAATGGTGGAAATATTTTTCAATAGGTCTAGCTAAATTGCGCATTTGTGGGGTTTGGCCGTGGTGTGAGACTTGTCTCATTGTTAACTAAGCAAGAGCGCCTAGCTGCTTACCCCTATGGTTCTGATCCCGAACTCCTACAGACTTCCAGGAACTTAGAGATGATATAAAACACCGGTTACTAAAGTCTGTTATGATATGTTCATCTATTGGTACCTGGGAAATAAAGGTCTATAGCCGCGTCGCGAACCTTAATTGCGAATTTGGTGTAGCCTCTTTAAGATGGCGGCGTTGCGAAGCTCTCGCCGTTCAGCTGGTTTCCAGCACCTCTTCAAGTTCACAAACGCCGCGCATACGAATGCAACGGGTCTTGATATCTAACCATACGAACGGGCATGCTCGTTATGTGACATCAAGTTCTTTTACTCCCCTAAACTAAACTAAACTGTAATCATGGGCCTCGGTATTCTTGATGACACCAAGCTTGAGCACGTTCCAGGTAAGGAGCAGGAGCAGAGGCGCATAGAGAACAATGAACTGAAGCTTCGATCGCAGGCACTGCGACTGTCCTCGATGATGAGGCTAGGTTGCAGGAGGAACATGCTGTTCATGATCCCAATCTGAAGTACGACTCTACAGGACAGATAATCCTTGTGCCTCAGCCTTCAGACGACCCAAACGATCCCCTTGTACGTATATTAAGTGGTTATCTGAGCACTGGTATAGATATGGGCTGACAAGACTAGAATTGGCCACTATGGAGACGCGACCTGATCCTACTTACCTTATCCCTCCTCTCGATAATCGCTTCAACTCTTAGTCCGCTCCTAGCTGCCGACACACTTTCCCTTTCACTATACTTCACGCGTACCTTCACCGATGTAGCATTGTTGACTGGATACCATCTTCTTGGTGTGGGCATAGCTGGATTTTTGTTTGTTCCCTCTGCGAGAGTATGGGGAAAGCGGCATCTATACCTCCTAGGGACCGTAATTCTTGTGTTTAGTAGCGCATGGGGTGGAGCGAGCAACAAAAATTATAAGAGCCTTTTAGGTGCACGGATATTCCAGGGAATTGGTCTGGCTCCCTTTGAAGCTCTTGTTAATGCCAGCGTGGGCGATCTGTATCATGTCCACCAGCGTGGTAAACGCATGGCGCTGTCTAACCTGGCGCTTTTTGGAGGCGCGTTCTTCACACCTGTACTTGTGGGCAAGATTGCGCATTCTATGGGGTGGCAATGGACGTTCTACTTCGTGGCGATTTTCTCCGGCATATTGCTTCCAGTAGTGATATTCTTTGTACCGGAAACTGCGTTTAGACGCGATGCGCATTTGAACACGGACACTGCAACAACGAAAACTCGATATCGTGGTATCGAACCTGGAGTCGAGTTAGGCCAGAATGGGCGACATAGTCAAGGTACTTATCCGGACAGTCCCAGGGATTCTCAGCAACCTATCAACGGACGAGCCGAAAAGTATGAAGGAGAGACAGATGTCCAGGGAGTCCGCGATGCTGGGCAAGTGCCTGGGCCGGCGAAAGTAAGCTGGGCAAGGAGTTTAATGCCATTTAATGGGAGGAAGACAGATGATAGGTATCTTCATCTGCTACTGAGGCCTTTCCCGTTATTCTTCCATCCTGGTATTCTCTGGGTGAGTGGGATTGACGTTTCTATGTTCCAAAAATCTGGATCTGGGCAGCCACTGATAAGCTGTAGGCATGCCTCATCCAAGGCACACTTATCGGCTGGACTGTAATGATTGGTATCGTTCTCGCAGCAATTATGCTCGGACCTCCACTATTTTTTGATGAAGTTAAAACTGGGTATATGTACACCGGTGCATTTGTTGGTGCTCTTCTTGGCTTTATACTTGCGGGCCTAATAGCCGACTGGTCCGCAAGCCGTCTAACACGCCTGAATCGGGGCATCTACGAACCAGAATTCCGTATGATCTTGGTAATTCCGCAGCTGATCTTTGGATGTGCTGGCCTGTATGGTTTTGGTATTACTAGCAACAACACGACAAAGTACGGGTGGTTTTGGCCTGACTTCTTCTTCGCGTTAGAGGTTATGGGCATGGTATTGGGCGCAGTAGCTAGCGCGTTGTACATTGTTGATGCGCATCGTAAGTATTCCTAGGACTTCACCTACTCCTAACCACGGGAAATAGAAAGGTTTAAAGCCTTGTGGGAAAAGATTAACTAACTAGTGGTACAAAACTAGGCGATATTTCTGTCGAGGCTTTTACTTGTCTACTTGTCTTCAAGAATATTTTCAGCTTCGGCCTTACCTGGAGTAGCTACGACTGGCTTGTGCAACACGGCGTCAAGCACGTCTTCATGGCTATTGCGAGCGTACAGGTCGCTGTATGCTTACTCAGTGTGCCCATGTGTACGTAACACCTTACTCAGCCCATCAGCGTATAACTATTTTTTTGGATTCTCATAAAGTAATGCTAATATTCCTGTAGATATCTTCGGCAAGAAGAACCGCTCATTCTTCGCTCGTCATAACATCTTCTTCAAAATATCAGACAAGGTCGCTAATTTCCTGGAATTCTGGCGTTGATCTCACCTGCGGAAATTGGTGTACTGTAGAAATTGCAGATAGGTTTTGAGTGTATTTCAGTGTAATTTCTCCATTGATGGCGGGTGATGGTGAGTGTATAAGGGTGAATGCTTTTTATTGAGATGATTGTACATGAGAATCGCACGGTTAAGTTGTCTATATCAATGTAATACTAATTTTGAAGAATATCCTGGACATCTGATTATCATTGTTGGCGAGACTGGTATAGTAATAAAAGCTAAGAATCCATACCAACCCCGGCAATGGCTAAAATCCACAGGTGTTTATCTTATGTAGCGTAACGGTAGACCTGACTTCTTTAATTTTCTGGAAGGTAGCTTACAAGCATGTATGACCTCCTTATAAAAAGACATGGGATCTTTCTAACGATATCGCTAACAAATGACGTGCTCTGAATGCCTTCAGAGGGGCAAAAAAACAACAAAAAGAAACGACTTGATACTAGGTCGTGCCCGGATTCGAACCGGGGTTGCCGGAAGTGTCTGATTATCAGAATCCGGAGTGATGACCGCTACACTACACAACCATGTGTGAACCGAGGATGTGGAACCCGATGTTGACGGTGCGACAAAATAAAATGATCCATATCGCAAATCAAAATTTACTCCTCTTGGCGTTAAATTTGTGCGAGAAAACCCCGCCCTCCTCGACGCTTGCATGATCATGAACTCCGAGATAGAGATTCTCAAAAACACGCTTTAGGTTAGTGCTAGCACAGCCTTAAACACAAACTCAATTTCGGTCTCTTATGCTAAAATTATGCCAAGATTATGCTATCTATGTCCTTACAACTTATGATGTGCCTTTTAGCTTATTATCGTCATTTTGGTTTTTGCAAGCGGAGCTGTAGCAGTCAATCAGATAAAAACGAAGTCAGATCAAAACATTATAGTAAACAACATTTCAGACTATTGGATTAATAAAAACTGTGGGTTGACACGAATCCGTTGCTCGTTCCACAATTCTTTGGTGTTGGTGGCTAGGGCGTCTCGCAGTTAGCCGCTAGTTCCCGCCATCGGGCTTTTCCTGCAGCCGATGTTGCCTTGACAGCGGAGTGTTTGGGCTGACTCTGACGGTCCCGCCGTCTATCGCAGGATTCCGTCGTATAGTAGATGCTCCGCTGACGACATTGCTCCACTACTGTCTTAAAGCTTCTGCTAATGCTATGGCAACATGGAGAGGGGGCTGGTATATATGGTTGCCAGGGTTGGGAGCAGCGCAAGAGATATAAACCCCAGATAGAGTCGCATTTTAGAATACTCCATCCTCATATTCAAGCAACTCATTGTTATAATCACTTTCAATCAGGACTCTCCGCCTCTATTATAGATATCGGATTTCCTGCACAACCTCCACCTCTACCAAGCGAAGAGACTTACTCCACTTATCCGTATACTATCACCTACCACAAATCTGCACCCAACACTTCGACATCATGCAATTCAAGCTTCTCACCGTGATGGCTGTCCTCGCCTCCACTGCTACAGCAAATTACAATGCCACAGGCACCGGCGGCTATATCCCCACTAGCGCAGGCGGTCTCTCACCAACTATGACCCCCTTTCAAGGTGTTGCCGCGCCCTCCACCCAATTCGCGGGCTCGGCGCTAGGATTTGTCGTTGCCGCTGGGGTTGCACTAGTAAGTCCTTTTTCCCTCGGGATTATGTAAAGTTCAAAAGGCATTCACTAACCTCTTCAGATGCTATGATGGACGCATCCTCCGCTTTACTGCATAGTTGGGGTAATAATGCTTTGAAATGAAAGTATTTTGGGGATGATAGTTAAATTTGCATTGGAAATTTTAGCGATAGCATTTTGGGAGGATTGCATACTTTGGGCGCAAAACGCAGGGACTATACGGGCATTGATAAAGGTTATGATTTATGGGATACGGAAGGAATTTGACGGATGGTAAAGGAAAACGCGTAAACGCGCGAGGCTATGGTAATTAGCATATTTTCAAGTGGGTTACAAATTGAGAAAATTATGCATAATTAGAGAAATAGAGCAATGAAGCGGCATTCTAGGACATAGCTTCTAATTTTGCAAGCCCCAGAGGTACTCAATGATTGCGTTTGGTGAAGACCTATCACAAGATAAGATCGCGTGTAACGCGGAACGATTTCAGCCCTACGAAGTCGCGTAAAGTGGTTTCGCGTCGTCCACGAACATTTCCACTTCACGGTATGCGAGGTTTGTAGAGTATCTTTCAATAACAACCATGGCCATTAAAGATGGAAATCTGTTATGCATGCCATCGTAAGTTTCCTTTCACATGTTTCATAAGTATACAGCTGCTAATGCAAATAGTACGAAGGAAATTCCCACCCTCACACGAATTAATTCCTTCTACAACCCTCTTCACACCTTCGACCTCCCAAAAGGCACTGAGAAACACTATCAACAGCAATATGCAGACATGTATTTTCTGCGATTGGCTATGCTTAAGCCGGCCGTAGAACAAAAGGCCGAAGAAGCGTGGAGAGACTTCGAGGTAATTATTTGGCATAGCTCTAGAAACATAGTAGAGGGCTTTATTCTGATATTCCGCGTAAAAGATTGCAGGCGAGAAAGCAAGACGCGTAGATAGGGTACTTGATGTCCGGCAAGGTGAACTATGTTGGGTCGTGGGAACGGTGTATATGGAAATGTCACTGAAGCCAAATATCCTTGATGATATCTCTAAAGAGGTATGCAAGATTTTTTGTTGCGTCGACTCACCAGAGAACGTCATGTCGTTAATGCTTTTTCTCAGCACTGGATATCAGCCCCTCCCGCCCGTGAGAAGTACATTAGCCCCGGTGGTGACGACGAAATAATGCTGGAAGATGAGTCCGGGCGGTTACGTATTACTGGAGATTTCCTCTCAACAACTAGTTATGTTACTGGTTGTGTGATTGCGGCGCTGGGTACAGAAAACGCAGACGGATCATTTAAAGTCATTGCCACCGAATTGGCTGACCTTCCAAGGCAACCGGGGCGGTGGGAACGAGATGAAGGACAGCTTGCCCTTTCTAGCAAGAAAGTAAAACAAGAAAAGCCAAAAACAGGGAAGATTGCCATTGTTAGTGGCCTTGAGATCAGCGGGGTTTCGGGAGATACTATACTTCTTGATTTACTTGTGGAGTACCTCTTAGGCGAATCTCTTGGAGGGGTGGAGCAAGCAGAAACAGGGAAGATAACTCGACTAATAATAGCTGGAGGAAGCCTTGCTCATTCATCTCCCATACCATCAAGAGAGGAACTTGCAGCGAAAAAGGGTCATAAGAAGTACGGATACGATTCATCAGCCTACGACGCAGCGCCGACCGACCACTTGGATTTGCTACTTTCAACCTTACTACCGCAACTTCCAATAACAATTCTTCCGGGCGCCTCAGATCCTGCGAATGTTGCTATTCCACAGCAACCTCTACATCCAGCTTTATTCCCCCAAAGCCGATCATATGCCAATCCTCCTGCGCAATCTAAAGACCAACCCGGCGCATTCGATAGCGTGACCAATCCATGGGAAGGCGACGTGGACGGGTGGAGGCTACTAGGCACAGGGGGCCAAACCGTAACTGATGTTCTCAAATATGTTGAAGACGATAATGTTTTAGATGTAATGGAGGCCATGTTGAGGTGGAGGTGCATCGCTCCAACAGCGCCAGATACTTTATGTAAGATATATGTGCTCCGCTCTCGTATTTATTTGACTTCATTTCCTTCGGATTTACCTCGAATTTCCCTATGTTCATTCAAAGTATTAAAAACACTAATAAATGCGCATAGGGTGTTATCCATTTCAAGACGACGACCCACTTCTTATTAAAGATTGCCCGCACATTTATTTTGCCGGGAACCAACCTCAATTCGACTCCAGAGTTGCAGAAGGGCCTTCTGGGCAGGAAGTATTGTTACTGTCGGTACCAAAGTTCAGCGAGTCAGGAAAACTTGTTCTGGTGGATTCAGAGACACTCAAGGTAGAGTGTAAGCAGTTCGAGACTCCAGAAAATGCTGGCGAATTATTGTAATGGCTACGCGTGAGCACATAACTATGCTGCAAAGGCGGAGATGATAGTATGTAAATAATTAAGTTTGATTTCGCCTAGAGAATTATCATAACTCATAGCTATCTAAGAGTTCTTTCGTGTAGGTAATCTAGCATCAATTTGCTAATCACTGCAGGCGTCGTAAAGACATTGAAATAGTCTGGCGTAGTGCATTCTATCGTTGCGTAAACTGCTGAACCGCTTGATCGCGGTAGAACCGTTTGAAAACGATAATTTAGTGATAGCTCAGCATGGGGGAAAGCTAATGGAGGCTACGGAGGACGGCCCAAAAACAGATTTCGCTTTCCTTTTTCGGACAAGCGGTAATCCCCCATAAGGTCGCCAGAGTTTGGGGGGGCCCATCCCCTATAGCAACAAGATTTTAGGCGGTCTATGCCCCTAAGAAGGCCCATAGCTTTCAAAACCTTCACTCATCCCGAAAAGGAAAGGGAAATCGGTCTCTGGGCCGTCCTCCGTAAATCCGGCGTATCACTTTGTATCGCCTCTGCACAGCCACCGTTAGGGTAGCTCACTTTCGCTTCACCGCCGCTCAGATTGTTCCCAGCGGTGCTGGCCCCTGCACTCTGCCCACTTACGACCAGCTAAGGATTTTGTCTTTCAATGTTTGGTGCTTGGCGTCCTCCTACGAAATTAAAGTTGGATGGGATTCCGATCCTATTCATACAAGTAGAGATATATCCCAGTAATTTTCAAGAACCACTTTCACCATTGGTCAAAACATCCGTTCTAAATCTAGAAGTGCTGTTGAGTCAAACTCTTTTCTATATTGAGCGAAAATAGTTGCTTCTGACTTTCAGCAATCACACTCGAGCCATCCAACGTGCTTTATTGACGATCCATATAAATAGGGATTATGTTTGCTCGAATTTCTCGTAGAACATCAAATCTTTCTTTATCACCTTATTCCTTCCGCTCACTACCAAGATGACTGTCTTTTTGTCATTTATCGTTACTCTACTTCTCGGAGCTCCGATGGCTCTCGTATCCGCGGTGCCCAACGTTACAGTCACTCCCATCGGACGCGGCTGTTCCGCTTATCCTAATTGGTACCCTAGCCCTGAAAGCGATACTACTGGCGGATTTCGTTTTAGGGCAGATCAAGCGGACAACTCTTCCATCAATGGCCTATACTCTAGTGTCAGGTATTTCCCAGGGTCAAATGGACTCCGTTCCGGAAATATCGTCATTACTCCAAACACGATGGGCGCAACGCCAGGATTCTGCTGTGTCAATGGCGTCATAGAAGACTTATACCTTACCACCGCACCGGCAGTGACGACAATTTACTTCTCGGCGAGTCTCTATGATGCTCAACTTACCTATCTCGAAGATGGCGGTAAGGTGGAAACATACGCGCATGAAATAGGAGGGGTGCGACAAGATGGTGTCTTCATTGGAGCAGGAAATGTAACGACATGGGGATTCAAGTACCAACCAGCGTCAGCCAGCGAGCCGGACTACATTGAGATGA